GGACCGTCAATAAAAAAAATAGAGAATCTAGGATTAGGCTGTTCTGCAGCTGTTACTACTGCATCATATACAGCATGCTGTTCATCGTTAAGTTTGGATACACCTTCAAGAATTCGCTGCAACTCATCCTGTGAGAAATCTGTCTCTTCTGTGGAGAGTCGTGTTTGTCCATCATGGTTCAATAAATTATAGTGTATAGTAGGCAACTCAGGAAAATCCTTAAGACACTTTCCACATTGCTGAATGTGATCTTCGATCTCAACTAAAGCACGACTTATAATTGCAGGATCCTCCGGTGCAACATTCGCACTAAGTCGTTGTGCCGTATATACAAAGTCTTCTGTTAAGGTTGGTAGATAGGTATCCCAAAGACTCTTAATATTTGTTGGTTGACAGTAGGCTAATAATGTTGCAAATAGAAGACGCAGTTGCGAGGGCATCTGAAAGAGACTTGCTTCAGATAAACAGTTAAAGCATTCTTTGTCGTCATCTAAAAGCCCTAATTTCTGTGCGGCTTGCTTAAATGTTGGATAGATGATCCCATTAATTGTGCGTAGGATCTCGAATGATGTTGGGCCACGGGTGTGACATAACAATAGACGTAAGCAAAAGCGTTCCAAATCATTTGGGGAGCAAGAATACAGCCTACCAATCACTTTGTCTCCGCTCCTTTTTCGACGTTGCCAATCTCCTTTTATCCAGCGGAAGAACTTGGGAAATTCTGAATATAGAAGACCTGCAGCTGTTGGATCTCTCCTACATACTTCAAAGAACCTCGTGAGCTTTGTATTTGTGGCTGTGGAAATGGTTTGATCTAGATCTGAATCCACATTAAAAAGAACGAATTGTTGGTTCGGTAGGTGCACTTGCAGTCTTTCCACTTTATGTGATCGCTGTTGAAGGTCGTAAGAGAAAATCCGCCAGCATGCTTCAGAGGCTGAAACATATCGAGCATCAAGATATGCTTGGATCTCATCATTTTTGGTACTATCGCTTTGAGTAACAATTAAAGCCCGATCATGCCCTTTATAGATGTATTTATATAAATATTTTACTGATGCTATAGTAGAACAGATTTCTATATTTATGTGACAGTAGTATTTTTGACATAGATAGGGATTGTACGGTATTACCCATCTGTTTGATCGATCATTAGCCGATTCACCTTTATATAAAGAGGAATTCAATTTATTAATTTATTGACATACCTGTTGTCTAATATATGA